CGTGCCGGCGGTGGCGCTCTGCAGCGTCGGCAGTGCCAGCGGGCTCGGCAACCCCGAAGCTGCGGCCGCACGCTCCTCGCGCAGGCAGCTCGCCGACGACGACGACGACGACGACGACGACGACGCCGAACACGATGACGAACGACGGCAAAGGCGCCGGAGACGCCGACTACGCCAACGACGGCGACAGCCGACCACTGCGACGACGGCGACGACGGCGACAAACGCGACAAAGGCGACGGCGACGGAAGCTGCACGACGGCAGAGGAGGCGGCGGCTGTGACGACGGCGGCGGCGGCTGTGCCCTTGCGGGCTAATCTTCTTATGCCACTGCTCGATGCCCTCTGTTGTCCATCACGTAGCGTCCTGCTACAGGCTGAACCTCACTCCTTACTCGTTGCTGTGCTGACTGGCGCTAAGGCCACCAATCGCCGAACAAACGAGGACGACGACGACGACGACGACGACGACAACGATGGCGACGACGACGACGACGACGACGACGCACGACCGACGACAAACGACGGACGACCGACAACCGACGACCGACGACCAACGACCAACGACCAACGACCAACAACCTACGACAAACGACCGACGACCGACGACGACGACGACGACGACGCGGCGACGCGGTGGCGACAGAAGCGACGGAAGCGACGACGTTGACGACGAGCTGCGCCTCCCTGTGTATTTCCCTTCCCCCCCTCGTCACCTCAGCCTTCCCTCGATGACGTTTCTTCCAAACATGATCCATATCTTCATGTTCCCTTCTTTTCCTCATCATCGTGTCGTTGTATCCGTCATCGCCGTTCCAATCCGCATCCGCAGCAACATCCGCACTATCACCAACAACCACAACATTCCATCATCATGATCATCATCAGCACCATCATCATGACCACCCAATCTCCGCGTCATCATCGTCGTCACCCCCGACGACAACATCAACGTCGACATCAGCATCGCAAGCATCCTCTTCAACGCCGACATCATCATAAACATGATCACCATCGCCATCATCGTCCCCATCGTTTTTTTCCACCTCTTCGTCCTCCTCTTCCACTGTTGATATTCATTCCCCGCGCTCCTCATGTTTCTCCTTCTCTTCCTCGTCCTGCAGTCACAAGCCGAAAAGGCCACGAGGACTTGTAGGATAACCCAGACGCAACGACGAGCGCCCAGCAGGTGTACCAGAAAAGCCACCAAAAATGTCAACAACATCTTCCTCGGCCCCTTCTCAGGCTGAGAAGAAGGGAGGGGAGGGAGCGAGGGGAAGAAAGGGAAAGGGAACGGGGAGCACGGAGGAAGGCAGAGGGAGAGAGGGAGGGAGGGAGGGAAGCTGACGGAGGGAGGGGCGCTGAGGAGGAGCGAACGAAGCCTGATAGAGCTTCGGTTTGTTAGCCGCGCCGCGGCGCCGCCGCGCGCCCAGCTCCGCAGCTCAGGTCGTGCAAAAACCTGAGGGCGTGGCGGCGGCGGAGACGGCATTGCATATGTCGCGAGGGCGCTTGTTGAAGCCGTCCTTGATGATGTGGTAGGTCTCGTCGCCACCGCCAGCCGTGCGGCTGAGTTGACTGACGATGCCGTTTCCACCCCACTACTCCGTGTCCAGGGTGGGCAGAACAAGACGAATCATCAGCTCGCTGCTGCAGCACCCAAAAGGCGCCGCGAGGTGGCGCAGCATCTCGGGGCAGGCGCAGTGCTGGACGGCGACGTCGCCGGTGCAACCGAAGACACAGGAGCGGCGCTGCGGGGCGACATGCATCCGCACAGTTGCCGCCCAGACCCCAGCGAGCACTTTCATCAAGGCCCACACACGAGCGTGCGCTAACGTCGCCGGGCGCATGCGGAGGCGAAGCCAGCGATCAGGAAGATCCCCAGGGAGTTGCCCCAGTTGCACGAGATCTGGTGCGCAGATTTCCGCATCAGCGCCATGACCATTACATTATCGCCACGGAGGGGCGGGTCGTCATCGCCAGGGGCATGGGAACGATGGCCGGGCACCCAGCGGCTTCGAGCGCGGTGTCTAGCCCTTGCACGCCGGCGGAGTGCTGCTTGCCGTCGAGCACGGCGTAGAACATTACCCACGCGTCGGGAGCGCGGGTTCGACGAGCGGGCCCGCACGCGCTGGAGGCGTTCCACCCCTCGCGGCAGAGTTCCATGGGAAGCCCGCGCGCCCTGGGCGCTCGCCTGAAGTAGCGAGACGAAGATGGGGTCCTGCAAGGCGCGGAGGCGCGCTCGACGCACCAGGCCACCCAGCCCGTGTCGCCATTAATGAAGCGATCTTGAAGAAGAACGTCAGGTAGCCAGTGAGCTGCCCAATGTGCTGCCAGATGTTGAAGACGTTCATACGCTAGCACCGCTCGGCGCGCCGCTAGGTCATCATGAAGAACGGAAAGAAGATGCGACAGATACCAGGCGGCGATTCGGTTTTGGCTCGTGGTGCGAAAGGTGTGGTGATGCAGCCTATATTGGACAACAAGTTGGCGCGCTCTCTGAAGGGTTCGCCGCGCTGAATTTTCGTCGTCACCGACGCTTCCACAGAGTAACGCCGCCATGCCACGGCGCGCAGCATGCTTGTGAGCAGCCGCGAGAGCACCCTGCGCACAAACGAAAGAGCCTCTTTGAGTGGGAGCCAGGACCCTGGACGAAGAAGTTGGAGCTGGAGGCCCCTGCAAAGAGCTGCACGACGGACGCCTTGTTCACCCACTTCACGGCGCTCGCGACGTTCAGGTGGTCGAAGGTGCTCTCGCGAAGCTTGCTGCACCAGATAATCCAGCGGTCGGTCAGGGAGAGGGGCCTTGGAGAGAGTAAGGAAGAGGGGGAGACAAGGAGGGATGAAGGGGAAGGCAAAGCGGGAGGGCGGGAGGAAAGGAGGGATGAGGAGGAAGGCGGACGGGGACGAGGTCGCCACAGGTTCTGCGCAGGAGATCACGCCCCCCGGTTCGTCTGCAACCCGTGGCATCCAACATCCCGTATTGTACAGCTCACCGCGCTTCAGTTCCCAACAAAGTAGCCATGTTGTACTGTTTCAAGAAGGTGGCTGGGGTTATGTAGTGGGTAGGGGAACCACTTTCAGCGAATGCCACTACTGCAGACCAGTTGCACCGCGACTTCTGTAAAGCGACCACCCGACCAAGATGTTCGATCACTCCTAGTTAGTAACAAGCATGCCCGTGTCATCACACAGCGTACCAGCCAGGCCCTAGGATTGCTACCAGTCTCACCAGCACACCGCAGAGCCCATACCCCTGTACAGTACGGGTTGCGTACATATGCAGCACCTGCAGTCTCCTGCGAGCCAGCCCTTTGACCCACAGTCACACACACACAATTCCGCCACTCCTGTCCCCTCTGGCTTCATCCTTCTCACTCACCTCACCCCCCTGCGGCTCAACCCTGCCTGGCTGCAAGGCAGGGCTGACCAGCCACCGCCGCCCAGCCCCGCACACCCAGCCAAACTCGCGGCAGCCGGCCTGCGCAAGCGAGCTCTCCAACTGCGCGGCAAGCGCGCGCACGCGCGCGCGCGCGAGGCGGCGAGCGGGCCCGCACGGCTGGCTCCGGTGTGAGCCGAAGCGCCGTGGCCGTGCTGGGCCATCGGCGGAAAGGGGCGTCCGCATTGGGGGCGGTGTCGTGGCGGGCCGCCCAAAGCACAGCTTGCACTACAGAGCAGCCCCTGGCTTTAGGTCGGGCATGTCCCCCCCAAAAACTATTCCAAAATATAAACATGGTCCAAAAAATCATCCCCGGACGATTCTTTGTCTATATTTGAGTACTCCTCATGTAGAGGGACAGGCCCGATTTAAGCCTGGCTCCGTCCAACATGTCGGTCTTGCCGCGGGTGGCAGAGAGGGGAAAAGCGTGGAGTCGCTTGTTACTCAGCTCGAGTGCCTGGTGCGCTGGGTCCGTCATGCTTTCCTAGCCCTGTTCGGATGCTTCCTCATGATGTGTATGGCTTTCGCTTGGTTAATTACTCCCCTCCAAGCCCCCTCCGAATTGCAGTTCACTGCTTACTCTGTGCCCTTGCGGGCTAATCTTCTTATGCCACTGCTCGATGCCCTCTGTTGTCCATCACGTAGAGTCCTGCTACAGGCTGAACCTCACTCCTTACCCGTTGCTGTGCTGACTGGCGCTAAGGCCACCAATCGCCGAACAAACGAGGACGACGACGACGACGACGACGACGACGACGACGACAACAACGATGGCGACGACGACGACGACGACGACGACGACAACGACGGCAACGACGACGACGACGACGACGACGACGACGACGACGACAGCGGGGACCACCGGATCCTCGCTGCAGAGCAGCTGCCGCCGGGTCGAGGCCAGCTCCCTCTGGAGCGCGTCGCATTCATCCTGCCACGCCCTCGACGTCGCCAACGCCACCGCCTCCGTCGCCCCCGACCTCACCGTCATCGTCGTCGTCGTCGTCGTCGTTGTTTTCGCCGCCATCGTCGTCATCGTCGTCGTCGCCGCCGCCGTTGTCTTCTTCCTCCACCTCCTCCTCCTCTCCTCCTCCTCCTCCTCTCCTCCTCCTCCTCCTCCATCTCCTCCTTCTCCTTCTCCTTCTCCTTCTCCTCCTCCTCCTCCTCTCCTCCTCTTCCTCCTCCTCCTCCTCCTCCTCCTCCACCCTCTCCTCCTCCTCCTCCTCCTCCTCCTCCTCCTCCTCCTCCTCCTCCTCCTCCTCCTCCTCCTCCTCCTCCTCCGTTTTCTTTCTCTTTACCCCTCAGCGGGAGGGAGTCGGAACATGGCGAGCTGAGACAACGGCAACTCAAAATCGATGCCACGACCCATCCCGGGGTCCAGACGCACCACTTTCTCTAGCTGTGTCCCGCCGTGTTGATGAGGGGGGCTACCGAGATCCAACTGCCGCTGTCTGGAATTGCCTTCCCCGAGAAAAGGCGGGAGGAGGAGGAGGAGGAGGAGGAGGAGAAGAAAGAGGAGAAAGAGGAGAAAGAGGAGAAAGAGAGGAGGAGGAGGAGGAGGAGGAGGAGGAGAAGGAGAAGGAGAAGGAGAAGGAGAAGGAGAAGGAGAAGGAGAAGGAGAAGGAGAAGGAGAAGGAGGAGAGGAGGGGGAGGAGCTGTCTGGAATGGCCCTCCCGTGAGTGAGGGAGGAGGAGGATGAGGAGGGGAAAGAGAAGAGAGAGGAGAAAGAGGAGGAGAGGAGGAGGAGGGAGGAGGGAGAAGGAGGAGGGAGGAGGGAGAAGTGAGGGAGGAGGATGAGCACAACGGATCTACTGCTGCAGAGGCCTCGCGCGCGGCGCCGCGCGGCGGGCGGTGCCGTCCTGACGCTCCTGCAGTTCGGCCGCTTGCCGCCGCAGCTGCGCCTGGGCGCCGGGTAGCTGAGCAGGTCGGGGGGGCACACGGGCGGGAACTTCCTGCAGAATTCCCACTCCCCCCTAAAAAAAAAAACTCCAGGGATGCGAAGATAGTTATCGAGTCTCAAGCTTTTTTCTGCACTTTCGGCTTCCAGGGGCCCCCTCGGGACCCTGGGACTGCCAAAAAGCGGCTCAGGACGAGATGCTAGTCCCAGGTCAAGGGTCGAGAGGTCAGGGGCCCCGGTGCTCGAAAAGATCAGGTCGTCGGAAGAATCGGGGCTACGGCCAGGAACTTTGGCTGGGCGTGTCGCGACGACGAGAAAAGGAAAACAAGAACAAAAAAAACACTGGCTGGAGCGTCCACCCCCCCCAGGTGCAACATCCCTCTGCCCCGCTGCTCTGGCAGCTCGGCGCCCCCGCCCGGCCAGCCCCGTGGCCAGGCGCCCTCGCCCACCCGGCTGGCTGTGCGCGCACTGGCTCCAGGCCGGCAGCTCCGCCGCTCCCCGCCGCTTGCCGCACCGCCGCCGTCGGGGCCTCACTGGGCTGGCGGGCGGTGCCTGCTGCCCGCTGCTTCTGCAGCTGTGCGCCCCCGCCTGGCCAGCCCTGCGGCCGGGCGTCTCCGCGCCACCCTCGGGGAACTCCGGGCCCGGGTCCATCCAGACCCGGGCCAGTCCCGCCTTGCAGGGTCCTGCAAGGTCCTGCGGGACCCTGCGCCCTCATCCGGGCCAGTGTGTCCTGCAGGATTCTGCAGGATCCCGAGCCCCGTTTGCATTGAACCCCGTCTCCCTGGCCCCGACACCCGGCCGTGATGCGTGCACTGGTCGGGCCTGCGGCCCTCCCCGTCCCGCCTCTTACCGCCCTGCCGATGGCCGGCGGCTCCCCGCCGCGCTGCGCCACTTCAGTCGACGGCGCTTTGCAACTCAGCAGCCCCCAGCAGTGTTGCAGCTCTGCTTCGCAGCCCTCGACAGCTTTGCCGCCGGCAGACCTGCAGCTCTGCTCCAAGCAGCTCAGCATGGCAGTATAGCAGCATTTTGCTGCAGCGAGCTGGTCGCTGGCCTTCCCGCATCGCGATGGTGCCGTACCTTTGCAGCAAAGCCTGTCGCCCACAGCCTCCTGAAGAACACCCGGATGCCGCCCGCTTCTATGGGTTCGCTCACCGCTCTTCTTCCTCCTCCTCCCTCCTCCTCCTCCTCCTCCTCCTCCTCCTCCTCCTCCTTCTCCTCCTCCTTCTGCGCCTGCAGCCTCTGCCTCAGCCTCAGCCCCCGAGTGTGACCGTGATGCCGCTCCGCGTCCACTGCAAGGCTGCCTCAGCACAAGCTGGCCGCACTGGCCACTCCTATCGAAGGTCTGTGTGCAATGAGTGCCCTCCCGCTGTCTCCCGCCTTCCGCGGCCGCCCTCTGCCTCCTTCTCCCCTTCTGCAGCTGGCCCCTGGCCAGCAAGAGCGCGCGTGCAGAACGCCTCTGCCGCGCTGCGAGGCAAAAAGTGCCGCGGCGACACGCAATGCGCCACAGGCGGACAGCATGTCGCTCCGCGCCGCGTGGCGGGGGGCGGGGAGAAGAGGCTCGGGACGCCGACGCCTGGGGGCCGGGACGTGGTTCGCGTGTGGCGCCGAGGCGTGGTGGGCATGAACCGGCAGCGCGGCACGCTGAGCCACAGTTCCTGGTCGGAAAGGCGGGGCGGGGGCACCCCGCTCGGGCGCCCTGGCCAGGGGCAGTGAATATGTATAGATCTCGTCGCCCCGTGGGGCGGGGGCAGAAAGGGGGGGGTCCGAGGGACATCGCTCCGCACGGCCACGGCCACCACGACGACCCAACTGCCAGGGGCACCAGTACTACGAGTGCCAGCTGCCACCGTGCCTCACCCCTGCAGCTCAGCCCCCCGCAACACCAGCGGGGGCCCAAGAATCTGAAGGACGCCGGCAGCCAGGTGAGCCCCCACGGGGTGCCCGATACCCTGGCGTCGATCGGACCAGCATGGGGCAGGGTCCCTGGCGACCCCAGTGTCGGGACAAAAACGCGACGCTGTCACCAACCACGACCAGAGCCCTGGACCCCGTCTCTTGAGCAGGGACCGACCGTCCCGGCATTCCTATAGGCCTGCCACGAAGCGTTCTTGGATCACAGAAATGCTCTAAGAACAGAGACAATGCTCTTAGAACAGAAGCTCGGTGTGTTAAAGCAAGACTGCCTCAGCCAGAAATGTTCTAAGAACATCTCGTGCAGACCACAACAGGTTCTCAGAACATTTGTTGGTGGGCCTGCAGGCGAGCTGGGACGCTTCGCCACTGCTTGAGAGTCTCTCTGCGGCACCTCTCTGTCTGCGGCACCTCTCGAGCTGGACCCTGGCGGCGCGCGCCAAGGGCGGTGAGAGGCGAGGGAGGCGAGAGAGGCGAGGGAGGCGAGGGAAGCTTCTGAGCGGCAGGGGCCCCCCTCAAAAGCCCTGCCGTCCTCCAAGGGAGCCTTCTTGGAAGCCTCGAGGGGAGCTCCTCGGTCGTTCGAGCTGCCTCGAGCTGGCATGCCCTCGCGACAGCCACGGTCGACACGCCAGGCTTCGATGCCAACGATATGGTGTCGCATTCCCCGCATCGCTCACTCGGTGGGCAGCGGCTTGTCCCTACTTTGGGGCCTGAGTCCCCCTGCCTCGGGGCCCTTCTGAGAAGGCGCCTGCCCTCTCAGACATAGGTCGGGCACGTCCTCCGAATTACGGGCGGATTCTGGAAGGATAACGGAAGACAGTCAGAACAAAAAGATTCCAAAATGATCCGGAGAGAACGAAAATCGTCTCCGGACTATGTCTTGACTCCTGTAGAGGGACATGCACGATTTAACCTTGGAAGCCCCCCGCCTGCCCAGAAGCCCACTCTCCTCGCGCGGCCCCCCAGTCGGCGCGCCGCCGAGGAGCGGGAGAAGGAGGACCTAAAGAGCGCCGGGCGGGCCGAAAGGAAGCTGGGTGTACGCGAGGGCGGCCGTGCGATGGCTCAGGGGGGAGGCATGTGGACCTGGGGTCGGCGATGCATCTGAAGGAGAAGCAAGCGAGGACTGCGACCAAGACCGAACGCGGAAGCGTCGGTGTCGATCTTGGTGCTCGTCTATCTTGGTCGTCGTTATTCCAGGGATCATTCTCGCGAATCGGCGACGGCCGGCATGGACCATGACCAAGACTGGCGTCGACAAAATCCAGCGACATCTTGGTCCCCAGACCCCTGACCTCGTGATTTTTTCATGACGAGACCGACAGAGGTCATCGACCTGGAATCGGTGATACATCGCCGATAGATCGGCGATAGGCCCCTGATAGCGAATCCGCACCTTCCTGGGCGGGCTGGGGCTATCGGGCCCCTATCGGCGATCAATGGGCGATTGGGGGTCGATGCATCCCCCCCTATGCCTATCTCCCCCTATCGTTGCCCCCGAGGACTGCCCACGAACAGCCCCAACGCCAGGCAGCGAATCATCAGAGTGGGAAGGCCAGCGGCGAAGGGCGAAGCCCCCGAAAAAAAGCGAGACCAGTTAGCAAGCCATGGACACGGCCGCCAGCCACCTCAGCTGTCTTTTTGCCCTCTGGATGTGCACATCCAGTCACTGCCCATGGCATGCCACGTCTCACTTCCCAATCCGGGCCATACGTCACAGCCTGGCGATGGTGAGCGCGAATTAGGCGCGGCGCGTGGTTACCCTACGCTCGCGGCGGCGAGGGCACGGCTGCAGGGGGCGAGCGCCCCAGAGGAGGAGGCGCGGGAGGAGGGAGCAGGCGGGGAGGCGGCATGGCACCTGGAGCCCCTCGGCGAGCCGCGGCACACCCCGCAGCGCGGCGGCCGAGGGCCCCCGGGGCGGCCGAGCGCGAGTCGGGCCGGGCAAAAGGAGGGGATAGCAAAGGGGGGGGCTGAGAATCCGCTCACGTAATTAGCTGATTTTCCCGGCGCCTCCCGGCGCCGGGAGGCGCCCATGTGTCGAGGGATGGGCCCGGCGGCGGGGCCGAAACCAGCTGCATGCAGCAGATTTCGTACCCCCCCCTTTCCCTATCCCCCCCTTTCGTTTTGCCCGAGCGAGGGTCAGCGTGGCGTAGCGCGACCTGGTGGCGTCCGCCGCCCCCGGCGGCACACCGAGACCCTCCGACGTACTGCTCTCCTCACACCGTGAACCCCCGGAGGTCTCGACCCGTTGCCCGGGACGGGCTCTTCGTCCGAGTCACTTGATGATGGCCCCGGGGACCAGCGTTAGGTCGGGCATAATAAAAGATAGTTCAAAGATCTTCAAAATCAGTCATAAATACTGGAAAATTGTCCCCTGATTATTTTTTTACTATTTTCGAACACTCCTCCTGTATGAGGGACGCGTCCCGACCTGAGCCCATTGAGGGCGGCCCGCCTGGGCCCGAGAACGGCCAAGACAGAACCTTCCAATGGCGACCCCTTCGCGACGCGAGGAGGGGTCTCCGATGGGACCTCTTCCATCCGCGAGCCCAGCGCTGCCGAGCCCTTCTCTCTGGGGGCAGTCCTTCGCCCCAGATACATGTCTGCTGCCCCCGGGAGCCACTCGCACACGGCCCTGGCGGCCCGAAGCGCTCGTGTGGCCCTCCCCGGGGAGCATCTCCTGCGGCCTTGGGGGGGGGATCTCCTCCGGAGGTCCTCGGACGTGGTCGACACCTGGACGAAAGCTGGACGACAGGGGCCTTCGCACGCCCTCGGGGCCCGCGCCTCACTGCCCCGCGGCGCCCTCGGCCCCACCCGCTGGCGCGGCGGCCTCCCCGGCGGCCTCCTCTTAGTGCTCGGCGGCCTCCTGCGCCGCCGCCTCCTCGGGCTGGGCGGCCTCGGCGCCGGCGGCCTCCTCGGCGGCCTCCTCGGCGGCCTCCTCGGCGGCCTCCTCGGCCTCGGCGGCCTCGGCGCTGGCGGCCTCCTCGGCGGCCTCCCCGGCGGCGGCGGCGGCCTCGGTGCTGGCGGCCTCCTCGGCGGCCTCCTCGGGGGCGGCCCGCTCGGCCTCGGCGGCCTCCTTGGCGGCGAGCTCCTGCAGGTAGAGGGCGTGCTGCTCCTCAGCGTAGCGCCGCTCCTCCTCCCGGCGGGCGGCGAGGCGGGCGCGCTTCGCCGCCTGCGCCTCCCGGGCGCAGGCCTTCCGCTGCTCGGCCTCGGCCCTGCTCCTGGCGGCCTTCTCCTGCCTTTGATCGGGGAGGGGAGCGAAGAGAGCGCAGCACGAGTCGTGGAAGAGTCACGAAGGAAGGTTTTCTGGCAGTGGTCTTTCTCTGTGGGCCCTTGTTGGGCCTCGGGGCCGTCAGAAGATGACTCGGAATGAGAAACGGGTCCAAAGGAATGGGTCGAGAACTCTGAAGGCCGAGGCCATGGAAAAAGCAAGAAATCAAGACGTCGGGGGTCCACACTGGGTATGATGGGTGCGAGCCGTCGAAACCCCGAGGGGGGCTCCCGTTCGAGCGGGAACCCCTATCCGACAACACACGCACACACATAGACCCCCAAAAAAATGCACACCGAGAAATCTGGGCGTCGCATAGGGGTGGGTGTTAGCTGTCAGCTCATGAGAAAACATACCAATACCGCTGCGTTTTCGTGGAAGACCCTCGTCTCTACTGCTGCATTGGCCACGGAGTCCTGGTCAGAACTCAAGCCAGGAGAGGTCCGCTGAGTAGCGGCATCAGCGTATGCGTGTGTGTGTGTGTGTGTGTGTGTGTGGGTGG